GGACGGAGGCGGCCGCCACGTCCAGGGGGGTGGAGCCCTGCATGCCTTGGGGACAACAGGGACAGCGAGGTCAGGGGACAACAGGGACAGAGAGATCAGGGGACACCAGGGACAGAGACCCCCCCTCAAGGTGTGCCTGGGGACACAGGGACAGAGAGATCAGGGGACAACAGGGACAGAGAGGTCAGGGGACACCAGGGACAGAAACCCCCCTCAAGGTGTGCCTGGGGACACAGGGACAGCGAGGTCAGGGGACACCAGGGACAGGGAGATCAGGGGCCACCAGGGACAGAGAGATCAGGGGACACCAGGGACAGAGACCCCCCCTCAAGGTGTGCCTGGGGACACAGGGACAGGGAGGTCAGGGGACAACAGGGACAGGGAGTCAGGGGACACCAGGGACAGAGACCCCCCTCAAGGTGTGCTTGGGGACACAGGGACAGAGAGATCAGGGGACAACAGGGACAGGGAGGTCAGGGGACAACAGGGACAGGGAGGTCAGGGGTCAGCGGACACCAGGGACATAGACGCCCCTGAAGGTGGGCTTGGGAACACAGGGACAGAGAGATCAGGGGACAACAGGGACAGGGAGGTCAGGGGACATCAAGGGACAGAGAGGTCAGGGGACAACAGGGACAGAGACCCCCCCTCAAGGTGTGCCTGGGGACACAGGGACAGAGAGGTCAGGGGACACAGGGACAGGGAGGTCAGGGGACAACAGGGACAGGGAGGTCAGGGGACACAGGGACAGCGAGATCAGGGGACATCAAGGGACAAAGAGACCAGGGGGACAGCAGGGACAGACTGGGGGTCACCTACAGGACCCCTGAAGTGACTGGAATTGAGGGGGTTATGGGGTGTTTTGGGGCAGATTTGGGGAGTTTGAGGGGGTTATGGGGTGTTCAGGAGCAAATCTGGGGGAGCATTTGGGGTGCTCAGGGGGTTCTCAGGGTGCTGGATAGGGACTGGGGGTGCCTGGATGGGGACACAGGGTGACACAGGGGGACACAGGGTGACCCAGAGAGGACACAGGGGGACACAGAGAGGACACAATGGGATACAGGAGGACATGGGAACACAGGGAGGACAGAAGTAGGACACAAATGGACACAGGGTGACCCAAAGAGAACACAGGGGGACACAAAGGGACACAGGGTGACCCAAAGAGGACAAAGGGGAACACAGGATGACACAGGGTGACCCAGAGAGGACACAGAGGAAGACAAAGGGACACAGGGTGACCCAGAGAGGACACAGGAGGACACAAGGAGGACACAGGGTGACCCAGAGAGGACAAAGGGGAACACAGGATGACACAGGGTGACCCAGAGAGGACACAGGGTGACTCAGAGTGAACCAAAGAGGACACAAGGAGGACACAAGGAGGACACAGAGTGACCCAGAGAGCAGACAGGGTGACCCCGAGAGGACAAAGGAGGACACAAGGAGGACACAGAGCACCCAGAGGGCCGCACGCACCCGATGCTCTGGATCATGAGGTTCTCCTCCTCGGGGCCCATCTGCACGATGAGCAGCGAGCGGATCTGGCCCAGGCACTCGAGCAGGGCCGTGGTGTCGGGCACCGAGGTGGCGCTGATGGCGTAGGCCTTGGGCAGGGCACGGCCCAGCTCGCCCAGCGCGTCGTACTGCCGGTGCAGCAGGCTGAACATGGCCCGCACCAGCGCCGGGCTCTGGATGAACGACTCCTGCGCCCAGTGCACCATGGTCTGCGAGATCAGCTCCTGCAGCGTGCCTGGGGATGGGGACAGTGGGGACATTGGGGACATTGGGGACACTGGGGGTATCGGGGACATTGGGGACACAGTGACTCCTGCGCCCAGTGCACCATGGTCTGCGAGATCAGCTCCTGCAGCGTGCCTGGGGACAACGGGGACATTGGGGACATCAGGGATATCAGGGACACTGGGGACATTGGGAACAATGGGGACACAGTGACTTCTGTGCCCATGGTCTGCCAGATCAGCTCCGGCAGCGCCGCCACCTTGGGGACATCTTGGCCAGCACCTTGGGCAGAGTTTGGCCAATTTTTTAGGGACATCTTGGTTGGCACCTTGGGGACAATTTGGCTGTGTCTTGGTGACATCTTGGTTGGCACCTTGAGGACACCCTGACCAGCTCCTTGGGGACACCTTGTGTGTTACCTTGGTAACACCTTGGCCAACTCCTTGGGGACACCTCGTGTGCCATCCCAATGCCCACCTGCCCGTGTCCCGGACGCGGCTGAGTGTCCCTGTCCCCACCCCGCTGTCCCCTCCTCACTGGGCACCGGGGGCTCCTCGGGGGGGGTCTCCTCCTCCTTGGGGGGTCCCCGGACCCCCACCACCTTCTGCACCAGCCCCAGCAGCCGCTGCCGCAGCGACGTCTCCTCCTCCTCCTCCTCTTCCTCCTCCGTCAGCTCCACGCCTGGGGGACACGGTGGGGGGGTCACAGGGGTGTCCCCCTGTCCCCAAGGGGGGTCTCAGGGTCCATGGGTGGAGTCCCTGCGCTCCCGGGGGTCTCTGGGGTCCCACAATGGGGGTCCCAGTTCCTTTGGGGAGATCCCAGCTCCCCTGGGGGTGTCCCCAAACCCAGGGGGGTCCCCATACCCCAGAGGGTGTCCCCATGCCCAGGAGGCTGTCCCCATGCCCAGGGGGGTATCCCCAGGGGGTGTCCCCACACCCCAGAGGGTGTCCCCATGCCCCATGGGGTGTCCCCATGCCCTAGGGCATTGTCCTCACACCCCAGGGAGGTGTCCCCAAGGCCAGGGGGTGTCCCTGTGCCCCCCTCACCACAGTGGGCCAGCAGGTCATTGTGGAAGTCCAGCAGCTCGTCCCGGATGTCCCCAGGCACGGGACACTCCTCATCCTCAGCCCCCCCCTTGTACTGCATCAGCATGTTGATCTGGGGACACGGGGGGACACCAGGTCATGGGACCATCCCTGTACACCCCTCCCTGTGTGCCCCACATGTCCCCATGTCCCCAAACGCTGTCCCCAAATTCCCCTGTTCCCACAGTTCCTTCACGTGTCCCTGTGTCCCCCCGACATGTCCCCACATCCCAGCCAAGGCCATGTCCCCAGGGTGTCCCTGCAGTGTCCCCCCTCTGTCTCCATGCTGTCCCCACAGTGTCCCCACTGTGTCCCTTCAGTGTCCCCCCTCTGTCCCTCCTCTATCCCCACTCTGTCCCCATTCGAACCCTGCTCTGTCCCCCCTCTATCCCCCCTCCATCCCCACTCTATCCCCGCTCTGTCCCCACAGTGTCCCCGCAGTGTCCCCACTCTGTCCCTTCAGCGTCCCCCTCTGTCCCCACAGTGTCCCCATTCAAACCCTGCTCTGTCCCCGCACTGTCCCCATTCTGTCCCCACTCTGTCCCCATTCTATACCCACTCTGTCCCCCCTCTATCCCCATTCTCTCCCCACTCTATCCCCGCTCTGTCCCCACTCTGTCCCCGCGGTGTCCCCGCTCTGTTCCCACTCTCTCCCCGCTCTGTCCCCGCAGTGTCCCCGCTCTATCCCCGCGGTGTCCCTGCTCTGTCCCCACTCTGTCCCCATTCTATCCCTGCCCTGTCCCCCTCTGTCCCCACTCTGTCCCCGTGCTGTCCCCACTCTGTCCCCATTCTATCCCTGCCCTGTCCCCCCTCTATCCCTGCTCTATCCTCGCTCTGTCCCTGCTCTGTCCCCACGCTGTCCCCGCCCTGTCCCCGCCCTGTCCCCATTCTGTCCCCACTCTGTCCCCATTCTATACCCACTCTGTCCCCCCTCTATCCCCATTCTCTCCCCACTCTATCCCCGCTCTGTCCCCGCGCTGTCCCCACTCTATCCCCGCCCTGTCCCCCCTCTATCCCCGCTCTGTGCCCATTCTATCCCCGCTCTGTGCCCATTCTATCCCCACTCTATCCCCGCTGTCCCCGCGCTGTCCCCGCGCTGTCCCCACCTGCTCCTGCGGGGGCGAGCGGAACTCGCGGGTGCGCCGCGCGGTCTCGGCGGCCGACATGGTCAGAGCCCGCATCAGGCGCCCGTAGCGGCGCCGCTGGTCCCGCTGCAGCCGCTGCACGTGGCGCTCCGAGAAGGCCACGATGGCCTCCACACGGTGCTGCAGCTCCCGCTCGCACAGGTGCTGCAGCAGGTGGCACATCTGCGGGGACACGGGGACACCGGGGACATGGGGATGTCAGGAACATCAGGGACACGGGGACATCAGGGACATCGGGGCATTGGGGACATTGGGGACACAGGGACCTCCACACGGTGCTGCAGCTCCCGCTCGCACAGGTGCTGCAGCAGGTGGCACATCTGCGGGGACACGGGGACATCGGGGACATTGGAGACATGTCAGGGACATCAGGGACACAGGGGCATTGGGGACATGTCAGGGACATCAGGGATGTGGGGGGATTGGGGAGATGAGGGACATTGGGGACACCATGGGGATGGGGACTGGGGACCCCAGGACATCGCTGGGGAGGGGACAAGGACACCGGGGAGGAGAGCCCAGGGAGGGGACAAGAGGTGGACACGGAGAGGGGACAGCGAGGGGACACAGCCCCCACCCCCGCGCCCTCCCTCACCTGCAGCTTGACCGACTCTGGCAGCTTCATCTGCAGCAGCCCCTCCTCCAGCTCTTCCTCCTTCTCCTCCTCCTCTTCCTCCTCCTGCACCTCCCCGGCCTCAATGGCCTTCGTCCTCCTGGCCTCCTCCTCATCCTCCTCCTCCTCCTGCAGCTCTCCAGCCTCGATGGCCTTCCTCCTCCTCACCTCCTCCTCCTCTTCCTCCTCCTCCTCCTCCTCCAGCTCTCCAGCCTCCACGGCCTTCTTCCTCCTCGCCTCCTCATCCTCCCCCTCCTCTTCCTCGCCAGCCTCGATGGCCTTCACCCCCTCCTCCTCCTCCTCCTGCTCCTCCTGCTGCTGCCCTCCCTCGCGCCGCGCCTCGCCGAAGACGCGCGGCTCGATCATGCGGAGCACGCGCCGCACGTCGCTGTCCCCCAGCGCTCCCACGGCCAGCAGCGCCGACACCAGCTTGAGCACGGGCACCAGCTGGAACTCCACGCTGCCCCCCACGGGGTCCCGGGCGTGGGGACCCCCTCCGGCCACCGCCTCGGCCAGCATGCGCATGGCCTTGGCTCCCAGCTCGTCCAGCGGGATGGCCGGGCTGAGCGGCGCCCGCCCGCCGCCGCCCGCCGCCCGGATGAAGCAGGGCTCCGAGAAATGGGGCTGGGGTCTCAGGCAGGCGCTGGGCCCCACGCCCGGGGGTCCCGGGCAGCGCCCGCCGTCGGGGAAGAGCGCGATGGAGCGCGTGGCCTCGGTGATGGGCACGATGAACTCGGCGCTCATGGAGGAGCGGGCGCGCTGCGCCGCGTCCAGGTGCATGGCCAGCAGCAGGTCGTAGTAGCCGGCCCGCAGGGGTCCCGGCAGCTCGGGGGTCTCGATGGCGAAGAGCAGCTGGGCCTGGTCCACGTGGCTGCAGAGGGCGTGCGCCACGCGGTTGTTGCCCAGCGCGCACACGGCGCAGTAGAGCCGCAGCGTGTGGCACTGGAACTGCAGCAGCTCCTCGCGCTCCCACAGCTCCAGGATGTCGATGCACCTGAAGGGAGAGGGGGGTCTGGGTGGGGGGCACGCGGGGTGGGACCCCTGNACCCTTGGGGGCACAGGGAATGGGGGGCTAGGGGTGGGACCCTTGGGGGCACAGGGAATGGGGGGCTCGGTGTGGGACCCCTGGGGGCACAGGGAATGGGGGGATATGGGGTGGGGGACATGGGGAGGGACCCCTGGGATGGGACCCCATGATCTCCTGGAGATGGGACCCCTGGGATGGAGACCCCAAGCTCTCCTGGGGCTGGAAGTTTTGGGATGGGACCCCACAATCTCCTGGGGATGACACTTTTGGGGTGAGACCCCAAGCTCTCCTGGGAATGAGACTTTTGGGGTGAGTGTCCTGGGGATGAGACCCCTGGGGACGAGACCCCAAGTTCTCCTGGGGATGACACTTTGGGGGCGAGACCCCAAGGCCTCCTGAGACTGTGACTTTTGGGATGGGACCCCATGATCTCCTGGGGATGAAACCCCCAAGGTCTCCTGGGGATGACACTTTTGGGGTGAGACCCCAAGCTCTCCTGGGACTGAAACTCCAAGCTCTACTCAAGATGGGACTTGGGATGAAACCCCAAGGTCTCCTGGGGATGAAACACCACGTTCTTCTGGGGATGGGACCACTGGAATGAGGACCCCAAGCTCTCCTGGGGCTGGGACCCCATGGGACAGGACCCCACGAGGCTGGGGATGACCTGGGCGCCCCTGGGGGTGCCCTGGGTGTCCCTGGGGGTGTCCCTGGGGGTGCCCTGGGTGTCCCTGGGGGTCTCCCTGAGGGTGTCCCCGGGTGTCCCCACCTGTCCTCCTCGGGGATGTGCAGGGCCATCATCTGCAGGGGCTCGGAGCACTCCACGGCCCAGCCCTGGCGCTCGCCCAGCCGGGCGCTCTCCACGGCCAGGTACTCGGTGGGCATGCGGCTCCAGGTGACCGGGGTCAGCTGCTGGATCACCAGCCGCGGCGGGCACTGCGGCGCCGGGTTCTGCCGCTCGCTGCTGAACATGGCCGCCGAGATGGGCATGATGTTCTGGGGGGGACACGGGGTGTCAGGGGGACCCCCGGCACCGAGCTCCTCGTGGGGCACCCTGCAGACCCCGAAGATCTGCCCCGAGCCCTCCTTGTGCCTCACAGCGCCCTCATCACCTCACCAGTGCTCCCAGTTGTCGCCCAGTCCCTGCCCACACCCCGTGACGACCTCGGGGTTTGGGGAGATTTGGGTTTTGGGGGGTCTCAGGGGTTCTGTATGTGGTGGTGTTCATGATGATCTGGGAATTTGGGGGGTCTTGGAGTGTTTTGGGGGCTCTCAGGGGTTCTGTATGTGGTGGTGTTCATGATGATCTGGGAATTTGGGGGGTCTTGGAGTGTTTTGGGGGCTCTCAGGGGTTCTGTATGTGGTGGTCATCATAGCCTGGGGATTTGGGTTTTGGGGGGGGCTCTCAGGGGTTCTGTATGTGCTGGTGTTCATGATGACCTCAGGGCTTTGCGGGGAGTCTCAGGGGTCTCATACTGTGGTGGTTGTGTTCATGCTGACCTGGGGATTTTGGGGGGTCTCATACCCCACCACCCACCTGGTGGGGGTCCCAGTCCTCACCTTGAGCTTGCCCAGCTCGAACTGGAGCACGTTTTGGGTGGTGGGCTGCACGAACACCGCCGGGAACAGTTTGGTGTTGGGCTCCACCTGCGGGGACAGCGCTGCCGTGAGACCCCCAGGGTGGGCTGGGACCCCCAGACCCCGGCTGGGCGGGGTCAGGGGAGGGGTCCCAGCTCACCTGGAAGAAGGTGTTGATCTCTTTGCCGTTGGCTGTGAAGGTCATGAGCCCCGTGGCCAGGTCCACCAGGCAGCCGATGACCAGGTCAGTGTGGGACACCCGGGCCTGCTGCGTGGGGGTCGCAAACTCCCCCCCCCACACCATGTAGCAGTTGCTGCGCTTGATGCTGGGGGGAAAAAAGGGGGTAAGACCCCCAAAATACCCCCCCAAAATACCCCCCAGACTATGGACCCCTCCCCTATTTAACAACAGACCAAGTTGCTGCACTTGATACTGGGGGAGAAAAAGGGGGTGAGACCCCCAAAATACCCCCAGACCATGGGGCAGTTGTCCCATTTGGGGTCCCATTTTAGGATCTCTTTGGGGTCCCATTTGGGGTCCTGTTAGGGATCCCATTTAGGGATCCCATTTAGGAGTCCCTTTTGGGGTCTCTTTGGGGTCCCATTTAGGGTCCTTTTGGGATCCTATTTAGGGGTCCCTTTTGGAGTCTCTCTGGGGTCCCTTTTGGGGTCCCTTTGGGGTGCCCCCCGAGGGGTACCTGTCGTGCACGTTGCCGCGGTCGTCGCCCATGGTGACGGTGACGCTGCGCACGCGGCTCAGCTCGAAGTCGGGGTCGTGCTGGTGGAAGTGGGGGGTGACCCAGCCCACCCAGGCACTGCCCGGCTCCTGCCCCGCAAACAGCCGCACCGAGTAGTAGTACTGGGGACAAGGGACACGGTCAGGGACATGGGGACAGCCACAGGGACACGGGGACATGGGGACAGGGACAGG